AGACACTGTCACACGAACCACACAACTGCCCAGTGGGATGGGCACAGGGGCTGGGGAACCGGGGACAGGACAGGGACACTGGGACAGGGACACCGGGACAGGGACACCGGAGCTGAGAATGGGGCACCAGGATGGGTTTCAGGGGCTCGGACAAGGACACGGGGAACAGGACAGTGATATGGGGACAGGACAGGGATACAGGGACAGGGACACCGGGACAGGGATACTGGAGCTGGCACAGGGGCAGCAAGATGGGTTCCAGGGCTGTGATGGGAGCACCGGGAAGAGGACAGGGACACCGGGGACAGGACAGGGACACTGGGGACAGGACAGGGACACCGGGAGCGCATTGAATGGGCAGGATCCATCCCGTGGGCCCTTCCCTACACACACCAGGACAGGGGAACCGGAGGAACCAGAGGGAACCTGCCCGGAACCTCCGGGGCTGAGCTTCTCCAGGCCCCGACCGGGCCCTGCTGCNGATGGCCACAGCGCCCTAAATGCTCTCCTGGTCCTTCCAGAGCAGCCCCGAGCATCCCAGGGCTGCCCGCGGAGCTTCGGGGTCGGGAATCGGGAATCCCGGTGGGCTCCGGGCTGATGTTCCCTCTGCTCTCCAATCTCAGCTTTGCCCCCAGTCCCCACGCTGAAAGCCCCGGGCATGTCCCCAAGGTGTCACCAGCCGCAGCCCTGCCACCTCCGGGCTGTTCCTGCCCTTCTCCCTCCCTGGGAAGCGCGGGTGAAGTTTTCTCTTCCCCTTAGGACACAAATCGCCCTGCACCGAGGGCGGGGACTGAGCTGCCACCCGGGTTTGTGCTGTGCCACCACCTGCAGTGACAAGCGGCACGGCTGGGGCCACAGCTGGCACTGTCCCCTGTTCCAGCAGGAACACACACTCTGCAGCCTATAGCGCCCGGCCACGTCTCCTTCCTCCCTCCTTTCCTTCCTCCCGTGGCCTCCGGCACGGCCCCAGCTTTTCCCAGGAGCTGCTCCGGGCTCTGAAGGGGCTCCGGGCGCTTTGAAGGTGCAGAAGCAGCGCCGGGAAGGACCGGAGCCCTTTGATCCCGGCCTCTCCAACGCTGGGCAAACAGCCCCGAGAGCCGCCGGCTGTGCAAACAGGGGGTGTGTGACATCCCCGGGGGCTGCGGGGGCAGCGACAGAGGGACAGGATAACCCTGGCCGTGCCCCAGGGTGCTGGCACAGTCCCCAGCCAGCGCCGAGTGCGTGTCCCCGGTGCTGGCACAGCCCTGGAGCTGCCCTGGCCCTGCTGGCGGCTGGCACGGCTCCACACATGATGCAAGGGCAGCTCCTGGTGGCCCTGTGCCCTTTGGATCCCCACTTCCAGCGGGGCTGGGGTTTGAAGCTGCAGACCCCAGAGGGCTCCCCCACAGTGGGCAGCCACCCCCAGAGCCTGGCAGGTGTCTCCTGGATGTCCCTGTGACCGTGTTCACAGCGGTTTTAGGACGAGGGAAGAGATGAGGATCTGACTCCATGTTTCAGAAGGCTTGATTTATTTTTTTTATGATATATATTATATTAAAACTATACTACAAGAATAGAAGAAAGGATTCCATCAGAACGCAGGCTAAGAATAGAAAAAGAATGGAATGATAACAAAAGCTTGTGGCTCAGACTCTCTATCCCAGCCAGTTCGCGGTGATTGGCCATTAATTACAAACAACCACATGAGACCAATCCCAGATGCACCTGTTGCATTCCACAGCAGCAGATAACCATTGTTTCCATTTTGTTCCTGAGGCCTCTCAGCTTCTCAGGAGGAAAAATCCTAAGGAAAAGATTTTTCATAAAAGACGTCTGTGACATGTCCCCATCCAACTGCAGCCTTTGAGCCACTCTGCCATGCCCATGGGAGCCTTGGATGCCCAGGGAGGGAGCAGAGGTTGTGCCAACACATCTTGGCCTCATCTTGTCCCCTTGTGACATGCCACACGTAGCCCTGCAATGAGTCCCCTTTGTCCCCAAGAAGCTGTTGGGCAGCAGGCACAGAGTCTGGCTGGAGGTTTGCAGGATGCCACCCCAAACCCCTGTGGGCTGCAGGAACAGCACAGAAAACTGCCCAGCCTGGCAGGGAGGGGACAGTGCCCAGGGTCACACCATCCCCAGCTCCCTGGGCATGCAGAGAAAAGGAGGAGAGAGGAAAATGCACCACTGGTTCCAGCCCTGCTGCCTCCTCGTTTTGTCACTGTCACTCCCTGCCTGACAGCAGGAGGTGCCCTGAGCCCTGGGGAAGCTCTGTGGTGTCAGGCAGGGCTATCCCCACTCTCAGACCCCCAAAAGCTCTGGGATCACCCTGTGCTGTTTGCCCCCAAGCCCACGCTCCCTGGCAGGGCTGGCCCAGCCTGGCAGGGCTGTCTGGTTTCGGGTGCTCTCACACTTGCTCAGATCCTGCTCCAGGCTCTGCCGGATGTGTGACAGTGTGGGTGGCAGCAGGGATGGCATCCTGCACTGGAGCCCCCACCCTTCCATGTCCCCAGGGCCACAATTTGGGTCCCATCCCCCAGGAGGCCCCAGAGGTGTCCCCAGCCAGGCTGGTGTGGTGTCACTGAAGTGGTTCTGGTGACCCTGAGTGGCCCAACCCCGTCCACCTGTGGGTCCCCAGAGTCCTCAGGCTTGGCAGGAGCTGCTGCAGAGACATCTTTGGTGGGTCATTTATCACCATAAGGAACCCCCAGAGCATCTGCCCTGAAGGAAGGGCTCAAATCCCCCACAGGAAATTGTGCAATAGCAGATCTGGGGGAGAAAATCCTCCTAATCCAGGGGAATCCTGCTCTGTCTACTTCTCCTGCTCATATGCAAGGCTGGGCTCCCCTATCTGTGCTCTTTCTGCACAATCTCTGTCCCAAAGGCCTCTCTTTGTTCCCCTAAAGCCCTGTTTGCCCAGGAGGCAGCTCTGCTCAAGGACAGGAATGCCAAAAGCATTCCCAGGAGCTGAGGAGCCCCTGGGACAGAGGGAACAGAGTAACGGGGCTGGGGTCACACATGGTGGGGAGTTTGGTCCCTAGACCATGGCCAGGTGCCACCACAGGAGTCCCCTGTGCTCCTGGGCAAGAGATTTTCCCTGAGGAAAAGAGAAACTTTATCCACTCCTCTCCTGTTTCAGGGTATTTCGTGTCACTGATTTAGGATGGAGGTTCATGTGGCCATCCAGCCAGGGGGACACCGAGAGTGTCCCCTGCATCCTTTGTAGCAGGGCCTGTCGTGGCAGGACACGGGGTTTAAACTGAAAGGATTTTAACTGAAAGGATTTTAACTGAAAGGATTTTAACTGATGGTTTAAACTGATGGTTTGAACTGAAAGAGGGGAGATTTCGGTGAGATATAAAGAAAGTTTTTAACTATAAGGGTGGTGGGGCACTGGCACAGGCTGCCCAGAGAGGCAGTGGATGCTCCATTGCTGGAAGTGCTCAAGGCCAGGGAGGANGGCCCCCCTCGGCAGGGAAGGGATTATCGCCGCCTCGGGAAACTGTCCTAAAAATTTGCCAGCCCAGGCGTGAAGGCGGCATCGTGCCCACAACACCCCCGGGCCAGCGCAGGGATGGGAGGGAAGATGTGGTGGGCAAGCAGCAGTGGTTTGAGGGGTACAGCAAAGAGCAGGGTGTTAGCAGGGCAGTGTGCATTAAAAAAAAATAACAAATTCAGGCCCTGGCAGTGCACACTTGTGATGATTGCAGCTGACACTCACAAATTGCAGTGCTGAACAAGCGAGAAGGAAAGCCCTGTGTGCTTATTTTCATCACTTCACAGCACTGTCAGTCTCCTTCCCTCATCCTGACCGTGACAATATGAGAGGAGACACGTGCTCCAGTAACCAGGGAAGCTTTAGGCAGGAGAACTCAAAGGTGTTTACAAACTGCAGCTCAGTCCTTCAGTTTGGTTTGGGCTTTGGGGACATCTCCTGCTCAGGCTCAGGCTGTGGATGTGCTCATCTGCACTTCCAAGAAAGTTAATTAATGATTTAAACTTCCTGTGTACCTTCAGCACAAAAAGAAAAAACCCAATTTGCTAAAAACCTTCTCGGGAGGGTCACCTTGAGCTGAGAAAAGAGAAGAGACTGCGAGTGTGAGTGTCACAAAACCACAACAAAAATAAACCGTTTGTGGGGCTGCTGCATCTGAGCTGTGCCTCCTGCGCATGGGCGAGGTGTCAGATTTAGGTCACCCCGCTCCCTGGTTAAGCTGTGGGTCATGGGAGCACCTTTTAATGCAGCTCTGGAGGGGCTGTGACACCGTGTGATGCAACACAGAGTGTGAAACGCTGCTGGAAACCAAGGGATGGGTGTTTAAGGGCTGCTGAGTGGCACCATTGCTGTTTAAGCCTGGTTTTCCCCCAGTGATCGAGGCTCCAGCAGCAGCTCCTGGCTCCTGAGTCCTCAGCAGTAACATAATCCCACATCCCTCCTGCATTTAGAGTCAGACTTTTGCTGCCAGGACAAAGGAAACCCAAACGTGTCAGGTTTGGGGGCAGCAGGGAGAACACACATATATATCATTTCACCCACTTGGCAGGTCTGGGATGTGGAGCTCTCTGGAAGTGAGGGGATTGCATTCCCCTCTCCCTATAGGGTTACTGCCAGACACAGCCCCAGCCCCTGACCCGTGATCACCCCACACCCCCTGCCCCAAACCCCATTAGGGGGGTTTTCAGTTACATCAAAGCCTTCTCCCAGCCCAGCCTGGGCTCTCTGCCCTTCCTTGCCACTAAAACCACTTAAAAGGAGGAAAAATAATCCAGGGGATTCATTTCCCTGGCCCCACCACCACGACCACTTCTTCTTCAAGTACTGGGAGAAATCCAGGACAAAGAGCTCAGTCTTGGTGCAGCTGAGCCTTGGGGAAAAAATAGATTAATTAATTTTTATTAATGTTCAGGATACCCCAAAAGCCAGGGGCCAGAGCAGCCCCCCCTCCAAGGAGCACCAAGGTGATGCATGGAAACCCACAGCATGGAAAAAGCCAACCCAGGCTGTTGCAAACTTATTTATTTATGAAGTATGAGGTAATGAAGAAAGTGCTAAATCCAACCAGTGTTAACTCTAACAGTTCTCAGCAGGTCAGCGGGGACCCCAGGGTGCCATCCTGTGGGACCACCCCTGCCAGCACCCCTGGGAGGGGACAGGGGACTGTGCCACCCCCATACCCCCCCAGACTGGGCAGCAGGAGGGCACAGGGAAGGCAGAGCAGCCCCCAAAGCTTTGCTGGGGAATTTAAGTGGCTGCTGGTGAAAGAGAACTCACAAAGGTGGGGAAAGGGGTCACAAGGATGCTCACAAGGGTGGGAAAGGGATAAAAATTCCCTGTTATTGCAAATGGGTGGTTTGGAGAGCTGCAAGGGGGTGAATGGCCTCTGCGAGGACTCAGCCCCTTCCTGATCTCCCTAAAGTGCAGCAGGACTGAGCCCTCCCCAACAGCAGGAAATCCCCCTTTTAAAAAAAAAAAAAAAGTTTTTATATATTTATATATATATAAAAAAGCAAACTCTTTACCAAATACTTCTCAAAAAAGTGGTACAAAAATACAGTATAAAAACACAGCCTCCAGTATAAGACTCGCAGTTACAGCAGCAGAGTTTCTAGAACATAAAAATCCAGGACCAGCTACTGCGTGAAGTGACACAGGGAAGTGAGGTACGGTCCAGCCGAGCCAGGGGGTGCTCTGAGAGGCACATCCTGCCATCAGCACCTCCAGGGCATCTCTCCAGAGGTGAGCCCCGTGCTGGGCTCTGGGTCTGCCTGATTCCAGGAGCCAAGGCAGATGTGGTTGCTTGGGGTTTTTAGGGCTGGTGGATGGTCAGGGTCAGCGCCCAGCAATGCTGTTGGGTGGCAGATGGCAGAGAGGGGGAATAAATTTGAGCTCTTGAACTGGAGCAGTCACTGAGGAAGCTTCACAGCAGGGACAAGAGAAATCTTGGAACACCCAATGGCAGGAACCAACCCCAGGCAGGTGATGCTGTTGGGGTCTCTGCTGTGGACCCACTCCCACATGCTCCAGCCCCTGGGGCCAACAGTTCCACAAGCAACCAAAAAATAAAAAAAAATGTGCAAATTGAGAAGGAGCTGGGGGTTTGTGGGGACCAGGATGGGGGGCACACAGCGTGCTAGTGCCCCTTAAGGTGAGCAATCCGTTTGAGCAGCTGGGTCTGGCGCAGCTGCAGCTGCCGCTTCTCGGCCGCCATCCTCCTCTCGGCGCTGATGAGGGACTGCAGGTACTCGGAGGATTTGCTCAGGATCACCACTTTGGGGGTCTTGGGGCAGCTGGCCAGCCCGGGCACCTGGTCCCTGAGGGCCAGGAAGCGCGAGCGCAGGTCGTTGCGCCGCTTGCGCTCCAGGTAATTGTGGTTTTTCCTCTTGGCCACGTCCTCGCTGTCCGAGCCGGGGCTGCTGTTGGGTTTGGGCAAGCCAGGCTCAGGCAGGGGCACGGCAGGGGTTGGCTCCACGCTGCTGGGGGGTTCATCCTGCTCCTGGTGCTGCTGGGGGGACTCGGGAGGCGGGCAGGGCTCCGGGGGAGAGCGGGCGGCGTAGTTGTGCTGCTGCTGGTGCACGGAGATGTGGAAACGCTTCATGCAGGGGTCCAGGGGGTCGGCACGGAGCGTGATGGTGACTGGCTTCCTCAGGCTGAGAGATTGCCGCTTGTCCACCGTCACCACGTCGATCTCTTCACCTTCTGCTCCCGTGGAAAGGAAAGAACAAATCCCTGTCAGTCACCCTTCAACACCTTCCCCTACAGCTCCCTGGAAAATATCCCTACTAAAGTTTGGTCGTGCACTGCAAACTCTGCGACCTCCAGAAGGCTTCTCCCAGCCCAGCCTGGGCTCTCTGCCCTTCCTTGCCACTTAAAAGGAGGAAAAATAGAAATCCAGAAGGGATTGAGTGATTTAAGTACTCCTTCAATACCATCACGTGGGAAGGAGCGGAATTCCCTCCCTGTTTCATGCGTCTGGATCCCCAAAAATGGACTGGGGGGTTTTACTTCCACCTCACTTCAGCACCAGGAGCAACATGTGTTCATCATAAAAGGATCATCAGGAAAAAACACCCGAGGTGGGGGGAACTGGAGGAGCAGGATGCTGGGACAGCCTGGTTCCAAAGTTCATCCCGGTCGGGTGCTTTCATGGCCCATTGGAATTGTAAATGAGGGATATAAGGGCAGAAGTAGCCTTTGTTCCCCTCGGCTGCAGCTTCCCACCTCGCTGACTTGCTACTTTTCACAAGCGATAAAGCCCATTCAGCCCCGGCGTCCCGGGGACAGGGGACAATCCCCCACTGTGCAGGGAGGGAGCGAGAGGTGAAGAGGTCCCTACAGCAGCCTCTGAACCTCAAAGGCATCTCAAGCCCAGGAACAGAAAGACCTAAATAAGGCATAATTGGTCCCATTCTGCCTGTTGGCACTGCTGTTGTCCCATCCCAGAGGCTTTGGGGACAGCGAGGTGAGCAGGCTCCAGACACATCCGCTGGGATTGCTCTCACTTTAGGGGATGGGCCTCCAGCTTTTTTTCCTAAGTTTTGGGGGAAAACACAGCCACTTGCTAAAGGCTGGGATGCTCAAACCCTCACCAGCATCGTGGGCAGAGGCCTGGCCCTACTCCCCTGTGAGAGTGCCAGTTTTGGGCTTCCTGATAGTGATCCCAGCCCATCCCCAAACCCTCCTGGCTTTGGGGTTCATCCAGGAAGCCCAAACCCCCCGATATTGGAGCTTCTGTGTTTGGGGACACTCATCAGTGTCACAACCCCCGTACACACACACACGCTCATTAATAAAACTCATCCTGCCTAGCCCCGCCCCCCGAAGCCTCCCATTGGCTGTCCCACGGGGCAGGCCGGCTGTTTTGCCATCCCATTGGTCCGCGCTCCCGTCCATCAGCGCTGCCCCGCTCATTGTTTGCAATCTGTTGCTTTTTGTTCGGCGCCCACGTGGCGCGGCCGGACCCCTCCGGGACCCCCTCGGTACCGGGACCCCC